CTTTATATAATCCAAATGTTGCATTATATACTTCAGTTACTTTTCTTTTAGAATTTTTATCTGCAAGTGGCATTTCTCCGTCAGCTCGTTTTGAACCACTGAATTTCTATGGTAAGAGATTTTTTCTAAAACTACTGACTTTACATTGACAATTTTATTTTAATTTAGTATTTACATCATTAACACAATTGATTTGTACAATTATTTATGTATGTTTTATTATTTATTTTCTTATTATTGAAATTAAGTTATTAATTAAATTAAAATTAAAATATTTTTATGAATTCTGGTCAATAATTCAAGTTGGTATAATAAGTTGTTCAATAACAAGTATTATTATTTATATTTGGCGTTTTAAAGAATATAATCGTTTAAGTTCACTTTTTCGTGAAACAAATGGATATGTTTATATTAATTTACAAATGACAGTTTATGTTGATGATGTTTTAACATCTCTCCTTGGTTTTTGTTGTTTTTTTGGAACAATTAAATTTATTAAATTTATTCGTTTTAATAAATCATTAATAATATTTGTTCAAACACTTAAATATGTTACAAAAGATATTATTTCATTTTCATTTATGTTTTCAATTGTATTTATGTCTTTTCTTGCATTATTTTATTTATTATTTAATTCAAGTATTGCATCATGTTCAAGTTTATTATCAACAGCTCAAATGTTATTTGAAATAACATTAATGAGTTTTGATGCAACTGATTTTACTGGAGCTGATCCATTTCTTGGTCCATTTTGTTTTTCAATTTTTATTATTATTGTTGTTTTCATATGTTTAAGTATGTTTATGTCAATACTTAATGATGGTTTTCATCATGTTGAACTAAATTCAATTGAAGATCAGCAAATTTTATCATATATGTTAAAGAAATTTTTAAATTGGACACGTAAAAATTATTTAATAAATTTAAATAAAAATTATTTATTTAATATTTTAGATTTAAGAAGACCAAATGTCGAAGAAACTTATGAAATACGAGATTCTCGAATGCATTCTCAATATGTTGATCCAATTGAAAATTTTCCTGATAAAATTGATCAATTGTTAGAAGCACTTGATCGAGTATATTAAAATAGAATAATTTATTTTCATTTAAAAATTATTTATTTCTCTATTATTTTTTTAGATTTATATCGATCAAAAAAAAGAACTATTAAAACTAAAAAGAGCTGGTGTTTAGTTATACTATTTTTCAATTATTATAATGATTCATATTTTTTATTGTATTGCTTTTGTTAAACTTGATTTAATTAACATATTATTTTTTTAAAATAAAATCATTGCTTTATATATTGTATAATTAAACTTGAACTTGTATTTATTGATAAAAGAGTATGGGTGTTGATGTCTATCATCTCATAATCCACCTACACTCTCTGTTGCTTCTTTAACATGATCAAGTAATAGGTCATGTGTTCGAGTTGCATCAAAACATTTTGATGTGAAATGAGAAATTTTCTTTACATAAATTTTAAGAAAAGAATCAGATTATTGGTTATGTTTCTTTTATTTTATTGCAGTTCTATTAATAGAATGTTGTCAGGTGAAATTATTTAAAATTTTATTTATTTTTATTATTTGTTAATGCTGGGAAAACATTTTATGGAGATAACGTCAGTAATGATACATTACTATGCTAAAACTAAGATTAAATATCTCTTCTGGTCTAATGGACTGTGACAACTGCTAGGATAGCAGGAGATATGTGGTTCGAGTCCCATGGAGGGATTATATTTTTCTTATACTTTTTTCGTGATTTATAAAACAATTAGTAAAAGTTGAATTTAATTATTGCTATGAAGCGGGCACTATGCGAAAATAATACAGTGAAAGAAATAATTAATAAGCTGTGTCGGTTAACAAATTTTATCGAAAAAAAAAAATAAAAAGGCTGGAGTGAAGATATCCAGATGAAATATATCACAAGATATATTAGAGAGAGATGCCATACATCTATATAACAAAGTATTCACCGAGATTAACAAAGAAACAGAATGAAAAAGAAATACATAATACATGATATCCAACTGATTACTAGTTCAGACGAGGGTATATGTGAATATCTCTCTAGACTATAAATACCGCATGTATTTTAGTATAAAGTATCAGTTAACACCAACTATATCTTCAGAATAATCATTTATGTAAGTTTTAAATTTTTTTCTTTTTTCGTCTTCTAGATTCTGATGAATTTCAGTTACAACTTGACAGAAACTAGTCAATAAAAGCCACAGACAATCGTTATCGAAGCTCAAGGTTAGTAAAAATCGTTGTTTTGAATCTCCCAAGAACAATTACCTATCCATATGTGTTTCTTTCTGTTTGCAGGTGCCCAACATCGTCCTCTTCTTCCACAACATCTAGGCAACGTCAAGAAGCAGATCAGTAAAAACTGATAATCTGGGGAAACTGCTCATGAGTGTTGGGCAAGGATTCGGGCACATCATCGTGTACGACGTAAACTCGGTGAATGCAGCCATTGCTGCTGCTCTCAACAACAACATGCGGGTGTATCATCCAAGCGAAGCTGGTGCTGAAACGAATGCAATCATCAAGCAATTTGTCAATCAACTTCTGTTTCGCGAAGGGTCTTGGCGCTCGCCTGGTAATCCGTGTGCTCCTTTTGAGCTAATGAAGGCCTTCTCCATCATGTGCAAGGACCCAGAGTCGGAGGTGTTCGACGATGATGGAGATATGGGCGATGGATGTAAGTTAACTGATGGCCATTTTTTTCCTTTCATCATATTTCTCTATCTACTTTCAGCAACCGCCAACAATCAAGTCGATGACCAGGCACGCATTCTCACGGCCCTTGATGGAATTGATCGAAGGTTTCTCGACTGCAAACCCGTCGAAAAGCTGGACATCGATTTTAAGAAAGGGTATGTTTGCTCAATTGATGCAGGGGGAATAATAACCACATCATCGACCTCAACGACCCCTAAGGTAAGCTTTACCACTTTTTACTCTTAATACCTAATCAATTTGCCTTTATTTGCTTATAGATCGTAAACAAACGTGCTCGTTCTGATGATCCAGGCCTGACCAATCAGATTCGACCTTCCAAAAAAAAAGGTAGTTTAATCTTCTTCTTAGTTTTTACTTTTCTCTTTTCTATCCTTTTCTTCTTCTGTTTTTTCACGTTACTGTTATAGTTTTTCTTCTCTTTTTTTTACTACCGTTATATTTCTTTTTCTGTTTTTTTCTTATTACTATTATTACTCTTTTCTTCTGTTTTTTACTGATTATTATTATTAAAAGAACGAAGTTCTTAAAATAAAAATAGAAGTCAGCTTCTACCTAGATTTGAACTGGGTTTGTTGGATTTATGGTCCAAAGTGCTTATTGTCTTGAGACTGTGGGTGGGCGTGGATATTGTATTATCATATGTCTACACCCACACACACACAGACACCCACACCCACACCCACACCCACACCCACACCCACACCCACACC